GAAAAAAAAAGAAAAAAATGTGATCTGTGCAATCCAATTAGACATGGGACATATTGTAGAAATTTAATTTTTTACTGTTTATTGTGGTTTTTTTTGTGTTTTCTCTTTTTTTCTGTATAAAATATGTAAAACGTAATAACACATCTTTTAAAAAAACACTACAGGGGGGAATTAATAAAATTGTAGAGTTTACTACCACTTTAAAACAGGAAGTACCTGAATAATAACACTCATGGCAGGATCACTAGGTGATATTTTTATGAATGCTGCAGATTTAAACATGTTGAAAATTACCTTTGAAAAGACAATAATATGTTAAAGCTTATATGAGATTGTAGTGATTGGGTCTACATCTACTTTTTTTTACTCTATCAGGAAAATTCTTTTATAGAAACATAAACATTATAATTTATTGTTATCTTTTAGAAGCAAAAAATACATAAAATTTTTTCTGTAGAAAAGAATTGATTCTGCATTATTAAAGCCAGGGGTTGGGAGGTGGATGAAATGTTTTTGCATTTAATATGAGGGTGCACCTGTTTAGATTTCACATCAGGGTGCTGAGGTTTTGTAGTCATATGTGTTATTTGTAAGGTTAGCACAATGTAATGTCCTGTGTTTTGTCACCATGTGAACACTCCTTTGGTTTGCACCTCTTTGACTTTATATTAGGGAGGAGTGCTGTTTTTCGCTACACTAACTAACTGCATAGGATGTTCCCCACCCTTCCACTACCAAAATGCATTTGCATTCAGTAAGCACCATTGGTTTGGTATACATAACAAGAAGTAGAATGTGCAGTTGTTTTATACAAAAACAATATTAACACAACTACTTTGTTTAAGCAAAAAAGTTTTGATACTGTATATATAATGCACTATACACCACTTTTTTAACCAAAGGCACATAAAACCAAGCAAGAAGTGTAAGGCTGAAGTTTAGTTATTTTTTTTTTTTTTTTTTTTAATTCAGCACCAAGGATGGTACTTACATGGTTCGGTATGCTGGTGACAGCGCTCTACCCTGAACTCTTGCACACAACCCATTGAAGTAGGAAATCTAAGTTGGTCTAAGTACCCGTTCATATGTAAGTGTTGCATTGTAGCATCTTTTGGGAAAAAAAGTGCATGTGTGTTTTGTTTTTTTTTATCATGGTAATGCATGATACAGAAACCATAGGGATAGGGGGCATATTTATTGATCAGTGAATATGATAATGCAGTTGAACTTCCCTTTGCATGTACTTTCCTTTTGCGTGAACTTTGCATGTATTTTAACTACAGTGAAAGATTTACCTGTAGTTCATGTTTGGTGAATATCACATTCTCTGCTTTATAAATATACCCCTTAATGAATTCAAACTTATGGCTCATTCACACCAGTGCGATGAATGGTGTTTTTTCACACTGGTAGAATGCCAGTCACTGCTAGGGCACATAGAAAACCATTGTTTTCTTTATCTCCGATTCACACTGCAACACAGCCCGGAGGTGCGGTGCGATGAGCTGCAATAAAATGCAGACATGCTGCATTTTATCCCAGTGCACTGCAAGGCGCCACGTGTCACTGTACAGCAGCACAATGCACTGCACTGCTGTGTGACAACATGAATAAAGTGTCAAGTTGCCGAAAAAGGGAACTGTGAGATGCGGTAAAACATGCATCAAACAAGCACTCCGGTTTAGTGTGCAGGCATTATGAATGGGCCCTCAAGGTGAATACAATAGAACAATAAAAAAAACTACAAGTACAAAAAACACACATCAGTGCAGGCATTTCTGGCACACTCACGCTTGCCCGCACAGTAAAACGCAGCATTTTACCATGCAGGCTAATAATTGTGTTGACCAGCACTGGACATCAGACAAAGCTTGGTAATCCCTGTTGCCAACTCATTAAAACACATATTGTATGCATTTTGATGTTCTCTTCACTTCTATGTGTCTCTCAACATACAAAAAAAAAACACAAAAAAAATGCACTGCACTACAGAGCTGAGAAGGAAGTGGCACTATCCTAATTATGGCCAACTACAACACATACATTCTAGTGATCAGAAAGCATGTGTAATTGGGTCCTAAATTTATGTCAGTGCACAAAAATGTATGCAAATTCCAGCATTAAAAACTTGCACTGTTGCAAATAGATAGGTGTTAATGGAGCTAACATATATTAATACATTTTGAATTTGTGCTGCATTTTGACCTACTTCTTTGTTCAAGTGGTCAAATGGATGCATTTTACAAGAAAGCAGAAAGTGTGAATGCGATCATAGTTCACCTTGAACAGATTTAATTAAATGCAATTTTTTAAAATATATATTGAAGCCAGATTTGGCAAATAAATGTGTACTTTTATTTCCAGTTTGACTCTGTAGCATTTTAATGAGTTTTTAAATGCAGAACTCATTATCCTGAAATGAGCACCATTCTTAAAATGCTATTAAATTTTCAAGTTGCATCAGAAGCAACAAAAAGCCTGAAGGTTTTTATTTCGTATTCGGTTATTTTTTGATGATTTTTACCTTACATAACCTTTTCCATGTATTTAGTTATTTCATTGTAACATTATCATTATTTTTTTATGTATTCTATAACAGGTAAAGGGAAATTGTGGTTTTCTGAGTTTCGAGACTAGGCTCTGTAGACTTTACTAGTAATGTATATTATATACCTAGGGACTGACAGCAATATTTAGATTACCTTTACCAAGAGAAACCCCATTGTATTTGAATGATTTCAGGAGATTATATCTGTATTGTATTTCACCGCAGGAGGATTTTGCCTCCACTAAGGAAATTAGGCGGACCTTATCATGTTCCTTCATGTGACAACACCACACGCCACACCTGGTGTCTAGGAGACACAATTAATTTTTCAGTATGAATGACAATAGTTAGATTTATTTTAAATATTTTTCAGGTATTTATAGCACTGACAATGTACACAGCGCTTTACATATTGCACTTTCACATACACTATGTTGCCAAAAATATTGGGACACCCCCCTCCAAATCATTGTTTTCAGGTGTTTCAGTCACCTCCACAGGTGTATAATATCAAGCACCTAGGCATGCAGACTGCTTCTTAAAACATTTGTGAAAGAATGGGTCGCTCTCAGGAGCTCAGTGGATTCAAGCGTGGTCCCGTGATAGGTTGCCACCTGTGCAATAAGTCCATCCGGGAAATTTCCTTGCTACTAAATATTCCACGGTCAACTGTTAGTTGTATTATAACAAAGTGGATGCAATTGGAAACAACAGCAACTCAGCCATGAAGTGGTAAAATGACAGAGCGGGATCAGCGCATGCTGAAGCACACAGTGCACAGAAGCCGCCAACTGTCTGCAGAGTCGATAATTAAAGACCTCCAAACAGTGAGATCGGCAGTTGGAAAGCTACTGCAGATATGAAACTTACCAGTCAAGATGGTGCTAGGCACATATCTGAGCCCTTCTTGTTTTATTGAAAAACAGGAACACAGAGACAGGAAATTACAGTATATCATAACCATGTAGTTCCACTAGGAAAAACATTACATTATGGAAAACTAATGCCCCGCTCTGGTGATCTCAGGTGGGCATCGCAGTGCTGGACCAGCTGTCCCTCCACCCAGAACTGGGACCTGGAAGGGGTACTTAGGTGAGTATATGTGCCTTCACATGGTAAGGAGGAAAAAATCATATTAAGATGAGTTAGAGAGGGTGGAAATAAGGGATGATAAAACATTAGTTTAAGCCCTGAGTTGGTCTTTCACCCCTTTCTATCCACCCCAGTGTCCCTTTGAAAAGTTCTGAATGCCCAGAAGGGTGGGAAGAATCTGAGATCATGTGACCACTGTGACTGGCTGTCACAGTGATCACATGATTGGGAGCTGGTCCCACCAGCTACTGATCATTATTGAGGACCAAGAGTTGTTCTTGACAGCTCGGTCTCTGTGCAGGGAGTGCGCAGAGAACACACTTTCAGCACTCAACAACCCATATGTGTGCAATCTGGGCATTTAAGGCCACCGCTTTGCCGCCACATGTATGTGTTATGTATGCAGTAAGAGCAGGGGCGGACTGATCATTTGGAAACTCGGGCACTGCCTGAGGGCCCAGGGTCAGTAGGGGGCCCCATGAGATGCCCCTGGTACTTTTTTCATGGGCTTTTTTGAGTTTGGGCAAGGACACAGGGGCCCCATGATCCCCTATTGCCCGGGGGCCCCATAAGTTGTCAGTCCACCTCTGAGTAAGAGATTAAACACTATCACTTAGTGTAAGTGCTACTGATCCCTAGATAATATACAGTATGTGATCGTATACCAAGTCGCATCCAGTGTGAACCATCCCTAAAAGAAGTTTCTTACAGCCACCAATCAAATTACAGCCTGCCTTCAAACTAAGCCAAAAGAGAGGCAGTTAAAAATCACGAGCTTCAGGAAGTACACTCCCAAGGACCCTGTGAGTTCCCTTGAGTCTTGCTGTAGTGGTAGTGGTGTCGCTACAGGGGGCGGGGGGGGGGTAATTGCCCCCCAGGTTATTCCTTGCCCCATGTGTGCCCCTCCACTAAATTAGGCTGCTGGGCAATGGCGGAACTTCCAGGGCTGCAGCGAGTGGGCGGCGGTGGCATTCCGCCCCCCTGGGGGGGCCCTGACAAGTGGGAATGGGCAACCTCTGCCATCATAGGCAATATCAGGTCCCCTCTTGTATGCCCAAGCACCAATGCACCCAGTGACGTTGCTAGGGGGGTGCAGCAGGTGTGGACCGCACCCATGTGACACCCTCCAGAGCAGTGACACCAAGGGCTGTCTTCAATGTGGGGCAAAAGGGTGCATGGAGGCCTTAGCATTCAGAGAAGGAAGATGTAACTTCCTCCCTCAGAGCTGCTCTGCCTCTAGCCTCCTGTAGTATGGCTGCAATCTCTGACTATCACCTGTAGTATGTCTGCAGTCTCTGATCTTCTCCTGTAGTATTTCTGCAGTCTGTAACCATCTCCAGTAGTATTTCTGCAGTCTTTGACCATCTGTAGTATGTTTGCAGTCTCTGATCCTCTCCTGTAGTATGTCTGCAGTCTGTAACCATCTCCTGTAGTATGTCTGCAGTCTCTGACCATCTCCTGTAATATGTAATACAGTTGCAAGAAAAAGTATGTGAACCCCTTGGGATTACGTGGAGTTTTGCATGAATTGGGCATAAAATGTGCTCTGAACGTCATCTAAGTCACAACAATAGAAGAACACCATCTGCTGAACATAATACTACACAAACATTAGATGTTGCCATGGTTTAATTGCACATAACATGTAAACATTCACAGTGCAGGGAGGAAAATGTATGTGAGGCCCTAGCTTAATGACTTCTCCCAGAGCTAATTGGAGCCAGGAGTGAGCCAACCTTGACTCCAATCAGTGTGATGATATTGGATGTGTTGCTGACAGCTGTCCTGCCCTTAAAAAACACACACCTGTTTTGGGTTTACTGGTTTCAAGAAGCACTGTCTGATGTGAACCATGCCTCGCAGAAAAGAGCTCTCAGAAGACCTACGATCAAGAATTGTTGACTTGCATGAAGCTGGAAAGGGTTACAAAAGTATCTCCAAAAGCCTTGATGTTCATGTGTCCACGGTAAGACAGACTGTCTACAAATGGAGAATGTTTAGCACTGTTGCTACTCTCCCTAGGCGTGGTTGTCCTGTGAAAATGACTGCAAGAGCACAGCGCAGAATGCTGCATGAGGTAAAGAAGAATACCAGAGTGTCAGCTAAAGACGTACAGAAATCTCTGGCACATGCTAACATTTTTGTTGACACATCTACAATAAGGAAAACATTAATCAAGAATGGAGTACATGGGAGGACACCACGGAGGAAGCCAATGCTGTCCAAAAAGAAGATTGCAGCACGTTTGAAGTTTGCAAAAGAGCACCTGGATGTTCTACAGCACTACTGGCAAAATATACTGTGGACAGATGAAACCAAGATTGAGTTGTTTGGGAAGAACACACAACACTATGTGTGGAGAAAAAAAGGCACAGCACACCAACATCAAAACCTCATCCCCACTGTAAAACATGGCGGAGGGAGCATCATGGTTTGGGGCTGCTTTGCTGCCTCAGGGCCTGGACGGATTGTTGTCATTGACGGGAAAATGAATTCCAGAGTTTATCAAGACATTTTGCAGGAAAACGTACGACCATCTGAAGCTCCGCAGAGGATGGGTGATGCAACAGGACAATGACCCAAAGCATACAAGTAATTCTACAAAACAATGGTTGCAACAGCACAGAATACGCCTTCTGGAGTGGCCCAGTCAGAGTCCTGACCTCAACCCCATTGAAATGCTGTGGCATGACCGTAAGAGAGCGATTCACACCAGACATCCCAAGAATATTGCTACACTGAAACAGTTTTGTGAAGAGGAGTGGTCCAAAATGACTCCAGATCGTTGTGCAGGTCTGATCTGCAACTACAGGAAACGTTTGGTTGAGGTTATTGCTGCCAAAGGAGGGTCAACCAGTTAAGTCCAAAGGTTCACATACTTTTTCCTCCCTGCACTGTGAATGTTTACATGTTATGTGCAATTAAACCATGGCAACATCTAATGTTTGTGTAGTATTATGTTCAGCAGACTGTGTTCTTCTATTGTTGTGACTTAGATGACGTTCAGAGCACATTTTATGCCCAATTCGTCCAAAACTCCACGTAATCCCAAGGGGTTCACATACTTTTTCTTGCAACTGTATGTCTGCAGTCTCTGATCCTCTCCTGTACTATGTTTGCAGTCTCTGACCATTTCCTGTAGTGTTTTTGCAGTCTCTGATCCTTTGCTGTAGTATGTCTGCAGTCTCTGACCTTCTCCTGTAGTATGTCTGCAGTCTCTAACAATCTCTCATAGTATGTCTGCAGTCTCTTACCATTTCTTGTAGTATATCTGCAGACTTTGAGAGTTTTCCTTTCTTTCTCAGGTCTGAAGCAATTTTTTTTTTTTTTTTTTTGAGTGGTGAAAATTATTAGTGCCCTTCTAGTTTTGACTGTAGTAACTTACAGTATGTGCCCCCAGTGCCCACCCCCCCCCCCCCCCCATATACTGTTCCTAGAGTCACCAGTGGAGTAAATTGCGGAGAACTTAAAGTGTATGTAAAGGCAATATAAAAAATACGCAGTACATCTCTACAATACACACCCACTCTTCCATATGTAACGGCACACTGGATGTAAAGGAAAATACCTGTGAAAAGACATTCAAATGGCTCATCAATTCCTCTTAAGAGCTGACAACACAGTGTCTTTTCTGGACCTAAACTGCGGGAATGCAGCCAGCCCTTCCTAGTTGTCTTTTATTTAATACCTTCCCTGTCCTTATCTTTATAACACAGGCCCGTAATTGTTTTGTGGTCCCAAATAAAACCTTGGAGGGTTGGTTAGACTCCTTGAGATAACAAAGGAAATGTACAAAAGACACACAACAGCTATGAATTTCTGATAAAAATAACAGGCGTTTTCTGGTGCTGGTGTTTTTTGGTGCTGGTGGGCAGGGGTGGACTGACCATTTGGAAACTCGGGCACTGCCCAAGGGCCCGGGGAGTAGGGGGCCCCATGAGATGCCCCTGGTACCTTTTTCATAGGCTTTTTTGAGTTTGGGCAAGGACAAAGGGGCCCCATGATCCCCTATTGCCCGGGGGCCCCATGAGTTGTCAGTCTGCCCCTGCTGGTGGGGTTTTTTTTTGCACTTAGGCTTCATTGCCGCTGGTTTATTGTAAACGCTGTTTCTCCTAGCAGAGTTTAGCAGCATTTATTGTTTGGGAGTTTATTTATTTCATTGGGCGGAATTTTAATTTATTCTGGACATTGAAATGAATAAATGCTGAAGAGCTAAACGCGTCTAGCATTTAGACACGTTTGACGTGTTTATGCACAATTGGCGCTTTAAATACCAGTAAACTCTTGCTCTGAACACGTTTTTTGTGCTTTCAGAAAAATGCCAGTAAACTCAGCCGCCTGTAAACTTCTATAAACAACTATGTGTACATGGACTCATAGAATAACATTCTAGAGTTCAGTGGCTTCCGAAAAAAATTAGCAACTGCTCCTAAACGTCTGTAGTGTACATGAGGCCTCACTGAATTAAAATGTTAGTGGTACAATAAACAGACCAAAGGGATAAAATACATTTAGTCCATTCTAAGGATTTACATACATTTTAAAGAAAATTGTCTGAAATTTCAGTTTTTTAAGCCCATTGTAATATTACATAGTTACATAGTTAGTCTGGCTGAAAAAAGACAAAAGTCCATCCAGTTCAACCATAGACAAAAAAAAAAAAAAGTTATAATCCTATACCAACAGTTGATTCAGAGGAAGGCAAAAAAACCCAGCAAAGCATGATCCAATTCGCACCTGCTGGGAAAAAAATTCCTTCCTGATCCCCCGAGAGGTAATCGGATATTCCCTGGATCAACTTTAACTATAAATGTTAGTATCCAGTTGTATTCTGTGTATTTAAGAAAGAATCCAGGACTTTTTTGAAGCAATCCACTGAGCTGGCCAGAACCAACTCTTGAGGGAGTCTATTCCACATTTTCACAGCTCTTACTGTGAAGAAACCTTTCCATGTTTGGAGATTAAATTTCTTTTCCTCTAGATGTAAAGAGTGCCCCCTTGTCCTCTGTGATGACCTCAGGGTGAATAGCTCTACACCAAGTTCACTATATGAACCACTGATGTATTTATACATGTTGATCATATCCCCCTTAATCTCCTCTTCTCAAGAGAGAATAAAAATTCAGTTCCTATAATCTTTCCTCATAGCTGAGCCTCCATGCCTCTTATCAGTTTGGTTGCCCTTCTCTGTACTTTCTCCAGTTCCCCAATGTTCTTTTTGTGAATTGGTGCCCAAAACAAACTGAACTGCATATTCCAGATGAGGTGTTACTAATGATTTGTACCGGGGGGGGGGGGTAATATGATATCTCTCTCTCTGGAGTCTATACCTCTTTTAATACAAGAGAGGATTTTGCACGCTTTAGAAACCGCAGCTTGCATGCCATTATTAAACTTGTGATCTACCAGAACTCCCAGATCCTTCTCCACCATTGATTCCCCCAGTTGTACCCCCCCCCCCCCAGTATGTATGATGCATGCATATTCTTAGCCCCCAAGTGCAGAAGCTTACATTTATCAACATTAAACCTCATTTGCCACATAGTTGCCCAATTAAACAGTGCATTGAGGTCAGCTTGTAAATTGGAGACATCCTGTAAGGACGCTATTCCACAGCACAGCTTGGTGTCATCTGCAAAGGCTTGGGATTTATAATCCCAGACCCTATATCATTTATAAATATATTAAAAAGTAAGGGTCCCAACACTGAACCTTGGGGTACACCACTGAGACCACTCAGAGTATGAATCATTAACCACTACTCTCTGAATACGATCTTTTAGCCATTTTTTTTCTATCCATTTACATACAGATTTTTTCAAGCCTGTAGACTTTACCTTACACATTTGCCAGGTGTGGGGAACTGTGTCAAATGCTTTTGCAAAATCCAAGTATACCACGTCCACTGCCACCCCTCTGTCCAAGGTTTTGCTCACCCCCTTTTAGTTGAAAATTATTGAAAAAAGATATAGCACATTGCTTCTACTGGTTTTGTAGCTGTCTGGTAGATGTCCAATTATTCATATTTCATTGATGAATAAAAGTCCATCCAGAAATCTGCCTTTTCAGAAATCCAACTCTAGGCCAGTAATGTAAGCATCCCTTCATCTAAATGTATTTTGCTTATAAGCATCAACAAACTGAACATTGGTTATATGTGTAGAAAATGCTGAATTTTTTTAATACAAAAATTAAACAGCACAAAGTGATTTACATTAAAGTGAAGCTATATTGTATCTGAGCATCACAAACCAAAATCGCTAAATTTTTTTTATTTTTTTTATTTTTTGTAATATTTAAGCAAAATTGCCCATCCATTCATGTCTCCATGCTTTATTTTGCATTTCTGGGTGGCCATCTGGAAAAAGGGCAGATGATTTATGTAGCATTTACTTCCTGGAATCCACCTGCCCTTAGCTCAGGCATGCAGGCAGGAGGATGTGCTCAGCTGAAAAAAAAAAACTCCTCCCCTCTTGAAGACATCATTTGCCTAGGCATGGAAACTAGAAAATAACAGAAGAAATGTAAAAAACAGATTAAAACAAGTAAATATGATATACTTTCCTATGAATTTACTAATGCTATCAGCATAAGGATTCAAAATAGTCACTGTTGATTGAGAGAGTGAAGTTCCGCTTTAAGAACCTCTTATTCACAGCAATGCAATCTCAACAGTCACAAATGTGTTGAAAAGTATTATTTTGGCTGGTATATACCCAGGTGTGGATCAGTTATTTCATACAGAACGAACAGGGTCTGCTGTATAAGGTGATGATTTATTTCAAATATTCTCCAGGTGTATACATTTGCCTCAAGGTGTATTTTGAGTGACTACAGATATTTACAGTTAGAGATTAGGGTTATGTGTGACATGTTTTTCTATATATCAGCAACTCATTAATTTTCTTCTTTGTTGCTTTTTTTAGTAGTGATGAGTGAGCCAATAAAAAATGCTGTCATATCTTCAGTTCAAGGTGATTGGGCTCAAAATTTGTTTGGTGTTTTTTTTTTTTTATTGCTTTTTTTAACTGGGGATGGTTAATTCCTCTTTGATTTATTTGTGCAACACTCAGAATTTGGAAATGCTAACTGAAAAGGATTAAATAAATATTCATAAGGCCCCTTTCACATGTGTGTTCTGTCTGTCCGTTATTCATCCTCCTGTTGACGGATGAAAAACGGACCGCAATTGCATTCCTATGGGCAAATGGATGTAAACAGATGTTGTCAGTTTTTCATCCTCTTCCGTTCAGGTCAGTTTTTTTAAAAGGAAAAAGTCTGCATTTTTGCTCTGCTTAAAAAATGAAAGCAGACAAAAGAACTAATTAAAAAGTGACACAAATGGATGAAAAATGGATGTAAACAAAACAGAACTAAACAGAATCAAATGTAAACAGAACTGAACTAAACAAAATCAAATCAATTTTTTTTTGTGCTGGTTAGTTTAGCAAGCCTATCCTTGGGTGATTTCACCAAATCACTGCCAATCGGTGTGGGTAGTGATAAAAATAAATGTTATTTTTTGGGTGGTAGAGGATAGAGGTGTAGAAGTTATCATGTAGGACCATATACATATACATAAAAACACACACACACACAAATAAATATATACACATACACACACATAAATATATATACACACACACACACAGGTTTAAAATGTTAGTTTCCTGGCTTTCATACTGATCCAGTGTTTTCACCATTTTCTAGGGCACTCAGATCAGAAGCACAGATTTTACTATGGCTTTTTAATGTGCATTCCTGTTGCAAGCCAGTGATTTTGAAAATATGAAGCCCCAAGACAGCCAGGCAACTAGCTTTCTGGGAACGATGTCATCAAAAGCAGCTGCTATACTTTTCTCACTACAAATTCTCTTTAAAATGGTTGTAAACCTCTACAATAAAAAATGAACACAGCATATGCCTATGTAGGGTGTGTTTGCCTTGATCCAAAACACCTAGTGAGAGTTCTGCCTGCTCTCTCATCCCTCACCTATCTGCATGAGTCACTTATGTCTATGCCAACACCAGAAAATCCTGGGAGACAGCCCCGCCTTCCCTCCAGTACACAGTATGTGATTGATAGCCTTACCTGTGCATATTTCCCTATGAGACTGTATAGGAGGGAGAGTCCTTTCCTTCCACTTAGGTCTCAGATTACACTCAGTTCTCTGCTGTGCAGTACGAGAATCAAATGCCCACCTCCTGCTTTCTTCAGCTATGGAACACTGTTTAAATTGTCTGCTTTGGGAGGCTATAGAAGAGAGAGGACAGCAGATAAA